ATTATCCTTTGGGATTTATTTAACAATCCCACTTCTGACACCAATTGTTACGATTTTACTAAATCAACCTCGATTATTTTCCGAATCCTTCGGGTACGATCTCTGGATTGTTCACATTTTTCTTTGTTTATTCGTAAGCATTGATTCTTCTTCTTCTACTTCATCATTTTAAACTTCTTTCGCAAACTTTTCGCGGCATCTTTCTGTTAATTCTACCTTCATTTTTGACCTCTCTTTGCTCATTCTATTCTAATAATTTCATTTTGTTTAACAGGTCTATATAATTCTGTTTCGCTATTAATTTTAACTCCTCTTCACTTATGTTTGATCCCGATCATTTTCTTCTTATAATTTCTTTCTAACGTAAATTTTCAGTTTGCTTCGCATTTGTTTCAGATAATTCCATGTAAGTTTCTTATAATTCCAATTTAATTTTTTTGCATCACATAATTGAATCATTATTTTCCTGTCTCATTTATTTTGGTTTGCGCTTATGACCCACACGCGGTGCACAAGCACGAGTGATTGATCAACATAACGATAGACTTCATAGCCAGATCTACCAATATACACATGCACTACACGTATGTATTCGTCTCGAATTGTTGGTACCATCAACGTGGGACAAGAAAAGGTAAGTGCTGATAGAATTTTTTTATACAAGGTTGATCGTTTATATTCAATTATTTGTATAATTTTGAATATTTCTATAAAAATTAACGAAGTAGAGGTGAATTTTCTCACAATATATTTTCTTTTAATATAACTTGTGCTTTTATATTTTTTTTGTTAGTAATGCGACTTTGAAGAAATAAAAGTACTAAATGAACTCTATGACAATTCTTAGTTGTCTTACTTGAAGCAGGAACTATTTATTATGGAGGAGTAAATTGTTTTGTTTTTGGTGTGAGTGTTACACTATGGTGTGAAAGGTGATGTGAGGCCGTAGACTAGACTAGACGGAAAGATTGAAAGGACAGACGTATTTTGTCAGGATCAGGGGTGGCACCCATGGTTGCGTAGGCGAGACACGCAAAGAGGGTGGGGCGACTCCAACTAACAGGACAGGTCTGTCCTTATCCAACTTCCTCTTACCTTTGACTTCCCATCCCGAGCTCTTTTTAGATTTGCCGCCAAATATATGTTTTTTCTTTTTAAAATCAGGCCTGAAAACCACTACACCTTCGCACCGTGGACATACACGAAGGAAAAAGGGAGCCGGAACGTTAAAGAGTTGAGGCCATATAGGGTTTAATGGGACATGGTAGGAGATTCCCTGAGCAATAGGGTGGACGCGTACAGTCCGCAACAAAAACTTCGTCTGTGTTTCTTTGTATATTTCCTTGGTTTTCTTAACATACTTTTCACTCCAAGCGTTGGTAGTGACATCTGTCGTAATGTAGTTACCTATAAGTCCATAAAAGGAGGTGTTAGAACAAAACGGTTCCTCCACTAACAAATTTCAGGGAAACGGAATGCATTGCGCAGGTATTCCTTAAAAAAGGCAAGTCGCTTTTCTCTTTAAAGTGCCGAGGGTAAAATTATCCCAGTGTACTTGGTGTACCGCGTTATTCAACCCGATCCCTTTGGGTAATGGGGCCACGCCAAATGATTGGGCAGTAATACACACTCACCAGAAAAATCTGCAGGCCGGCGCATAGCGGTGGGATGGTGTAATTTCAGATAAGGTCAAATAGTTGAAGTTAATTTTACTGTTTGTTAATGGCGTAATTTCCGTTAAGGTCAAATAGTTGAAGTTACTTTTACTGTTTGTTAACTTTTTCTTGTTACGTTCATATCTATGCTTAAAGCATCCCGCACCCAGAGCCCAGTCACACAGGCGGGGTAAAGTTACCCCCAGCAGCATGGCAGTTACAAGGCTCGTAGCCAGTACAATAACAATATAAATATAATACTCAGAAATGTTGAAAGTTATACAAAGAGATTCGGCAGATACATACATAGTAAAGTCATTGGTGGTAACTTCGGTATAAAATAGGGTGTGAAAGTTATAAATCAAGTAGTCGTGTAAAGTAAAGCAATCTGTGATTTGTTGAGTAATTAACAAACGTTTATTAAATTCTTTTATTTAACAAATCATCGAGGCTATTTTAACAAAAACTTTACAATATTGTTACGATTTTGCTGAGTCAACCTCGATGATTTTCTGAATCCTTCGGGTACGATCTCTGGATTGTTAAATAAAAAATCACCAACTTAATTTGCAGTTTCTTCCTTTATAAAGAATTATTCTAACGTCCTTTATTTACTCAATAATTAACAATTCAATTATAAGGCACTTTACTAGCTACAGTCACTAGCATTAACTTTCACAATTTACTTTACTTAAATGTAATCTTCAACGCGTTTACTCCGCTGTACTCTATGTTAACGCCAACGAGTTCACTTTGTAACTCACTTCACTTGACAGCTGAGTGTCGCTCTTATATAGCAGTCGGCTGCTCGCAGTCGAAAGCGTAAAAGCATCGAGCTGTTCGCTATCGAAGGTTCTTGTTTTATCGTTTCTAGAATGTACTAGTTATCGGCTTCTCTCTTTCATCTGATATTCGCCTCGCATTTTCGCGACACTGCCCTCCACCTAAGCCTGATCGTCCCATCAGACATATTCGCTCTTCCAAACTCAGCAAGCCTCTCCAGGTGGACCACTTTCATCTTGTTTGATTACCTTGTATGGATCTTCCCAATTACATTGAAGTTTTGAAGACAAACCCCTCTTCCGTTGTGGATTGTACAGCAACACCAAATCTCCATTTTGGAAACCTTCGGAGTTCATCGCCTTGTCATACCTGGCCTTCATTTTGTCACTCATAACTTGAGTTCGCT